AAAAAAAGCGAAAAACTGTATATCGTTTAGCTGCCGGAGAGTGGGGGTGAGACGTAGAATATGTGGTGGTTTCGGAACGCATTACGTTATAGTTTATCAACACGGGAAACGTGCTTAACCTATTTTCAATTTATTTGTCAGATTAGCATAGCATTGTACTACGACGCAGTTTACGAATATTCCGAACCGAGAATATTACGAACAGAAACCTCAACGGAGTAAAGTGAATAATACCGTATACCATAGAGAAGACAGTAAACGAAGTAAATATATGCAGAGAAGTCGCGGACGACTTGCGTATATATTTCGATTTCGCATATTACCTCATCTCCTGTTATATAGGTAAGAAAAAGAGCAATATATTTTTCTGTAAAATCTTCCTTGCTAAGCAACGAACAATTAATGAGTAAAATTAAGGCTAGTATACATAGTCGGTTCTTATTTCAAGACAGGCTTAAGGTTGATAATATATACGGCTCTGTTATATCTAACAATCGAGTGATTAGTTTATAACATCTCTCTCTCTCTTAAGATTACTCCAGCCGGCCTTAAATATAAAAGATCCGACAATGAAATACTACCCTACAACTTTATTAAGTGTTCCATTAAGATCTGCTGTGAGAAATTGATCAATCACAATCGAATGTGAGGAAAATAATTAACTATGATTGATTAATTTCTTAGGACTTAAGGATCACTACATATATCTTAAGGATTACTAATTATATATCTTCAGCTTATTTTCTTCAGTTTATAATAATTGACGAATTAATAACTATAAGACATACAGAGGTAAAGAAATATAAGAAATTTTATATTTTATTACTGTAATTTATCACGCGGTGCAATCTTTCGAACATCCCTCATTATTATAGCGACACGCTAATTTTCTTGGAATTTTTGATTGCCGAAAAAAAGATCTCCTGATCTCGGCAGACCAGGCAGCGACCTGGATTTGAAATTACTGTGATTATATAATTGTAATCTACAGTCGCAATAATCCATAGTAGATTTGGTAGAATATTTCTGAATTTCGATATCTTTGGACCATTGAATACTTTTCTAGAAACATTATGTATCCTGTACACATTTTCTCGATAACGAAAAATGTTTAAACGTTTGTAAAAAAATTATCTTCATTCCAGGACACTCGACGAGCTCCGGGTTTTCCCTATCGATGACGACGGTGAATGTCTGCCAAGGATATGCGCCAGAAGATGAACAAGATCTCTTCAACAGAAAATTGAATCGCCCAGCATGTCGAGTATTTTCCGCAAGAAGTAAACTCCCCTTTGTGTCTTATAGCAAGAAATTCTGTGTGAGAAAATCGAGTATCACGTCGGCAAGAAATTCGCAAGTGCAAGCACAAAAAATTGTTGTTAGGCATAAATGTATAATGTTGTTTCAACGAATGTTAACTTATTTTTTTATCGCGCTAGCTCTATGAGTGACGTGTAAATTATTTTGTTTAAATATTAACACGGTCTGAGGAGTTTAGAGATGAGAAAAGACGAATGTTTTTTCACGTTTTGTAAAATTCGGATGTCCATTGTGTCTGCACTCTCGCAGCGTTTGGAATTTTCTCACTTTCTCATGATCCTCTTTAGGTAAAAGAAAAGAAAAAGAGTAAATTCAAAACGCCACGATTAACAGTAATTAATGTTTAATTTCGAAGTCTGTCACTTTACATAGTAATAAACAAACGTCATAGATCATATATCATATCAAATTGTATATCGCATATCCGCATATACATATATATATAATACACAAGTGTTTTCCTCGTAGAATAATTTACAAAATCAGACTGTCTAGAAATACAGTTGCGTCCTGTTCCTGCTCGGTTCTGTTTTCCGTTATTTTTTTCTTTCTTTTTTTATATAATCACAGCTTATCCTGATACGTAAAAAAAACATTGCTATTGTATTTTCCTTTTTCCGTTCGATAATTAATCGACACAATCAGAGAGTTTCTCTGAGACATTCGTAAACTGCGATATGAGAATTAAGGTTTCTCTGGGATATTCGTAAACTGCGTCGTAGTGAAATGCTGGGCCAGAGATTCTGGAATATTTATCACAGTAGGTTGCGCCGGAAGTATAAGCTGAAATAAATATCAGTGATATATTTGTATGATATTTGTTTTCAGTGAAAGATTAGTTTTTAACATAAATTACAATCCTTGTATAATTTTAATTTAAATATGAAAAATAAATAAAATGCAAACAGCAGGAATAGTTTTTAGTTGTTGAAAAATGTATCCGGCACAAACGCTTTATAGCTTATCTGTAATATATATGTATATTAACTAAAATTTAATTACTAGCTTACCTTGTTCTTAATACTCATTAGGTCATAATCCTGCTCTAGAATCCGTTTTAATGTGCTATCTGTAGCAAGATCATCGCCTGGTTTCATACTGGCTCCAGATTGGCTACCACCACCCACTGTGTTCATCGTTACTCGTTTCACCCATGTAATCAGAACTACTCTCTGTATCCTCTTCTATGTTTACGTCCTATAAATTACAAATGTAATTCTTATAAACTTTTCTTACTTTCGCAATCCTCGGTCTGCAATATCATACGGATAAATTAAATCATGCAGTAAATTAAACCTTTCATAGCGCGGCAACGTTAAGAAAATTACGCCCTCACAACACGATAGTCAATCAGCGTTACACATATATTTCAAGTTATTGCTAC